AGGGCCTATTCTACTTAACTGCGGTTGCTCGGACATCTCAAGGAGACGAGCCACCATTGGAATTGCATACGCTAGAGTTTTGCCACTTCCCTTAACACATAAAATCTTACAACAATGACATTTTACAAAACTGAAAATCCCACCGTTTCGGCTGCACCCAGAACATCACATCGATCCCTTACCGCTAATGGTAAAACTTGGCGTTGGATTTCTGTGGGGTTTTGGAAGCTGTAAAAATAAAAGTAAAGATAGTTTAATGAACTGAGCCAAGCATGAGCAATTATCAGCAATAATGGTATCAATATAGTAGCTTACCCCAGGTCTTTTATCGCCTTCATCACAGGCCCAGGTAGATAAAGATCTTCCCATGATGACTTCTGTTTTGAGGAATCTACAGAACAAATATTATAAAATTCCCAAAGAATAAAAACGATGAATAACTCAAGAAAAAACAATTCCAAGTGATTTCAAAATCAAGAATGCACCTTCCACATTCTCTTCGTCCTCATCATCAATAACAATTCGCTGAATTGCTTCTTCATCTTTCTTGGCAACCACAGTCACATTATTCTCCTTTTCGCTTGTTTCAGCCTCGGCCACCGTGACCTCAGCAGAAAACTTTACTTTTTTGGCAGGTGTTGAGCTGATTTCCTTTTCTTGCTTTCGTTTCTTCTTCTTCTTCTTCTGAAACCAAACAAAAACATGGGTTGGCACGCATAAAATCACTTCCAGTTTTGGTGATCATAGAAAAACGAAAATTGAGAAGGAAAGCAAACAGCACATGATTGTGTGTGTTCCGAATTTAAAGTTAGCTAGACTAATTGATTAATGCAATCAAATCAAATTAAATTCAATAATGCAACTTGCAGAGGAAGAGATAAAGAAAATTAATAATAATCCTTTATTTTGTGTTCTAATGGGTTTACCAGGTTATGATTAAGATAATGAAAGGTTCATATCTACAAAGATCTTGATGAAGATAGGTGCGCTTACATTTTTTTGGAAGGGGTATTGACTATAGCGCAAAAATTTGGTTTTACGAATGGCCATACATCCAAAAAAACCAAACACAATGAATTGTCCACTAATGAACAAACAAATTATTGAACGCATCTCCAATGAGATAATCTTAAAAGTAAGGAACATAAAAATGCGAATAAGTTAGAATCTTACCGTCTCCTTCTTCTGCTCTGCTTCTTTTTCAACTGTCTGCTCGGATTTCTGCGCGTTCTTCAAATTATCTCCCAAATCTTCCACTACTTTGTCCTCTGTGTTTTTCTTCCTTTTCCTCTTCTTCTTCTTTTTTTCGTCATCCAGCTTCTGTACATCTACGTCTACGTTTTTCTTGGACTGTAAACATTGTATCAAATTGTGAAGATTGTTCTGAGCATAAACAAAATTACTAATCACAGAACTAATAGTCGAACGTTTAGATAAAGCAGTAACAGAAAAGAATTATAGTTTGATGCCAGATGAATGCAAGAAGAATGTAGATCGAACATTCAAGTTAAGGACAAAATAGATTTATGCTTCCAGCTGAGTATGATTTTGTGTGATCTTAGCTAATACATACAAGAGATTTATTGCAAAATTACCTTTTCATGATCTTCACTCTTTTTCTTCTTATTCTTTTCCGATTTCGAAGAACCGCCGCCTTCGGGCAGCAATTCTTGGAATGATCCCAAGAATCCAAATTCAGCATCGGCAAAGTTCCCAGTCAACACACCTTCCTTCCACTTCCCTTGATTTGACAAAGAAACCACATGAGGCATTGTTCCAAAAAAAGTTAATTATTTCGCTGGAACGCTAATTAAGCCAGGTGGGTGCAACACAAATGAGAGCCGAGACGGATTTATATATGTGATATTGCAAAAGGAGGAGAGTATCCTGCGCGTCGAATTGAAACGCAACTACGATGTTATGGAAAGATTATAATATATATGCTGACATAAAACTCGAAACCTGTACACTCTAGAATTCTACTGCATAGTACATTAGCCACCTGCATGCTTTTATTGCGCAGATAAAAACGACTACAAGATTCGACTGATAAAGAGAAGATTCGTGATCAATTGGATTATTGCAAATCTGGTTTCCAATTCCTAAGCTTGGATTCTTCAGATAATGTAGGTTCAAACTTTTCCATTCAAAACTGCAGGAGAAATAATAAATTTATTCTTTTTAATCACAACTTCAACAATTTCAACAGCATAAATTCAACAGTAACAACGATTGGAACAGAGCAAACTTTCACTAACTGAATAAGAAATTATCTAGAAATTACAATATCTACAGCATTAACAAAGTTATCTGACATGGCAATAATCAACATTCCATGCTCTCCACATTCCGATTTGCTTTCTGTTTACGTGCAGCTAGGATGTACCGCAATGCAAACTTGTTTTGATCAGCCCTAAATTGCAAAAGCGTAGGAAAAAAAATAGGAGTAAAACTCTTCTGAGAAGCTTTTACGAAAGCCTGAAGACAAAAGTATGGGAGTGATGAAAAAACGAACAATAAAAAATGATCAGATTTGACGAAAATGTCGTTGAAAAGCATGTGAGAAAGCAGATAAGAGCAAAAGTTAAATTTATAAAGATGCATACATTTCAGAGTATTGAAAATGCAAAAAATCTCAGAACAAAAAACCCACAACTTTGATATCAACTGGGTATGATGCGCTACTATCTGCTGTATTCCAGTAAGTATAGCTACATCTGTTCTTCCTTTTAAGCGCATCCCATGCACATTTAGGATATGTCGCAACCAGATCTAAAAATCACAACAGACTTATGTCCCTCCATTTTTTGTGAACTAAAAAAAAATTCTGAGTCAAATGTCAACCTCTAACTGATGCAGATGGTTAAATATGATGCTCAATTGCTATGCTATGAAAAATACCCAAAGGCAAGCTTTTTGAAATTCCATGAAAATTATACACCTAGACGAAAGCTGTATGAGAAATTTTACCATGTAAAAGTGTACATGTGGTGAGTTGGCCACCACCTGTCCATCTGCCATCCATTTCAATAACTTTTCCGCGTAGTTGATGGGCAGTGCTTGTACGACAAGTGCAACTAGAATATATTATTAAAAATATTGGAGAAGCTCTAGAATACATAATCTAATGTCTTCGACCGTTATACATGATTTCCAACAAAGCTAAACATAATCTTGTCTACCTTGGTTCAGTTCTGTGCTTTCCATAGTCTGTTGTATTAATTTAGTATCGTTCAAACGCAAACTGGCCATAAGTGCTGTCGAGTAGTCACATAGCGACAAGGCGCTAAAAGCCCATGCGAAAATTGAACAGTTAGAAGAATATAGTAGATTATGGGAACAAAAGAAGCTCAACAGCTTACTTTTTAACCAACGCAGGAGTCGTCTGACTATCCAGCTGGAATG